CCACCCTGACTACAGCCCTCTGAGGCCCCTCCTCCCCCGAGCACAGGACAGATACATTATGCCTGTGGCCTTGACCCATGGAAACTCCCTCTGTTCATAATATTATGGCAGAATACGCCCACCAGAGTCAGCACTGAGCACAATAAACACCTATTGCAATTTCCAAACATGAGTTTTCTCTGGTTGTGAGAGGCCTCCCCATCACGTGGAAGACTGTTATGGAAGAGCACTTGGAGAAGAGGATGAACAACCAGCTTCTCTCTCAGTGATATTCTAGATGCACTAGAAAATGCCTTGCTGGGGGTACAGTGGCATGCAATTCAAGGGAGGCCGGGGTGCCACACACTGCCTCCAGGAGCCGTGATTCCCCAGGCCTGTCCTAGGGATACTGTACACAGCACTTTGGGGACTACCTCTGGGCCATACTTTCTTTCTGCTTAATACCTTCACTATCTTTCCTGCCAGCTAACAGGAAGCGGCTGTTTGCAGATAACACTGATAGCTATGGTATTGAACCCTCACGGTTGAGCCATTTCAGATTATGCAATATTAAAATGATCTGAAGGAAATAAGCATTTAAGTTCAAGTTCCAAAGAAGGCAGCTTGGTTCAGAGCTAAAGTAACCAGGAAAGGCATTTTGTAACGGGAGAAGATCAGGGGGCTGACTTTGCAAAGCCACCCACCCCAATCCTGTTATATCAGCAGCAGAATTACATTCTCAAAGGATCATGAACCCTGTGAACTACACAAGCCAGGAAAGCAGGTTGCACTCTCCTTATGAGAATCTAATTCCCAAACCATTCCTCTGTGCTCTGCTCTTAACTTAGAAAATGTGGGGAAGGCCAAGGCCATAGTTCAGTGATAGGGCTTCCAAAGCATGCATGAGGTCCTGAAATCCATCTTCAGCACTGGAAAAAAAAAATGGATAAAGAAAAAATCTAGGGCTAAGGACCTGATGCCCAGGTGCCAGGTCTATGTCCCTGCCAACATCACCTCTTGACCATCTGATTGTCCAGGTAAGATACTGGTGGCTCATGAACTACAGCTCTCCTTGGACATTCTGTAAGACAGCATTTCTACATTTAGCAAACTGCATAGGCTCACAGCACTCTTGTCCCTGTGTCTGGAATGCACACCTCAAGTCTGCTGGCGCTAGTCCATCTTTTTGTTTGCTTTTGCAGGGCTGGGGATTAAGCCCACGGGCTTGTACCTGCTAGGTAGCACTCTACAACTGAACTATACCTCTGGCTTCAGCTGTAGATTGTTTTTGTGACTATACTGGTGATGCCAAAGACAACATGGACATAAATGGGTAGGGTGGGGTAAGAGCCCCCACTTCTGGGGCCTGATTCCGGAGACTCTCAAGGAGAAAGGCCCACTGCCCAGTGCCCAGGAACCTGGGGGTTGGAGCCAAGGCAGGGCCTGAAAGGCCTCCCTCTTTCCCTGCTGCTTTCCTCACCTCTGCAAGACCACTCTGCCCTGAGCACCCACTGAGGATGAGGAGAATGAGGATAGCTGGGGGCACCCACTGCCCTGTGCTTTTGCAGCTTTGCTTCAGTGAGGGCTCATAGGACAGAGTTCTTTGCTGCTTGGCATCAGCAAGGCCAAGCATGCGCTGCCATCACCCTCTGGTCTGGCCACCAGGACATGCTACTCTGCTCTAGACTCGGGTAATGGCCCTGGGTGCTTTGTAAAGGTGGAGTTGGCCCACATTCAGAGCCAAGCACTCAGTGCTGCTGGAAGCAGTGGCTGCTGCCTCAGGAGCAAAATCTGTCTTGGAACCTGAGACAGCTGTGGCCTCACCTTTTCAACAAGCCTACGCACCCTGCATCATCTCTGTATCCTCAATGACCAGGTGGAGGCCTCCTACACATGCCACTGTGGTGGGGACATCAGAAACTCACAACTGTGCCAGCTTTGACCAGCACCCACAGTGTGACTCCCCCAGCAGCTTCCTCTGGTGACTGACGAGGTTTAGGCTGCTCCTGCCGAAACCCAGATCACTCTTCCTCCCAGATACTCAGTGACTCTGATATGTCCAACATCCCAGTGGCTGCCTACAGGATGCTCAGGGAGAGCTCAGGTTCCCTGAGATGTTCTAGATACTGCAAGCCACCCCTGCCCAACAGGCAAGTGGGGTCAGGCTTGTCCCTGAGCTGGGAGGTCTCACACTTGGGTGTGGGTTTGCCTACTCCAGCGAACACTAACACTTCTCAGACAGCATGGAAGGCCCCTGGGGGAGGCTGAGCAGAGGATGAGCAGCACCCTGTTGGCAGGGTAGCAGGGACTTTCCTCAAGGGACTGAACTGCCCCCAAAAGGAGGACTCTGGGCCTGTGATTGAAGCTGTGTCCTGACCAGGTCAGACTTCTGCTCACCAGATCTAGAATGGCTTTGCTTATGTGGATCAAGTCAACTTTGGTAGGTGGCCTGGAAACTCCATCTCTAGGGAACCCAGGACACTGGCCTGGTCACAGGTCTCTGCCTGTTAGACTCTTCTGAGGGTGGCTCTTATTCCATTGCCCATTACAGAGACCATCTCCAGCTTGTCTTGACAATTAAGTGACACTCCTTGGCCCCTCTCGATGACTCTACCCTTCTGCAGCCCTCCTTAGTCAGGTCTGCCAGGGGCCCCTCCCTATGATGGCCAAAGTCTGACACTGAGCATGTGCCAACCACCTTCTTTCTCGATATAAGCAACCTCCCTGGCTCTTAGTGGGTCGGTCTGGGCACTGCTTCCCCTTATCCTGTGGCATAAATCCTAACAAGCCTCTTGCAGATGGAATATTCTTGCCTATTCATGAATTCCATCTCAAGTAGAGCAGTCTGAACTGGTAATGTGGAAGGCTGCTGGCGACAAAAGCCACCAGCTAGCAAGCCACCAGGGGCTAGTAACACTGAAGGCGCTGGCACTAGAGAAGGACGGAGAGCAGGAATAACAGCAGCGGAGAGCCGCCTTCTCTTGAAGCTGGAAGGGTTCCCAAGGCTGGTGGTACCTGCTAGCTCTGAGTAACAAAGAGAGCTGTTAACATCAAAAGAACTGACAGCATTGACATTCAAAGAATCCTCCTGCCTCAGCCCTCCAAGTAGCTGGGACTACAGTCACACATGACTGCACCTGGTTCCTACTGTAACTTCTGGCCTACAGAGATGAGCAGTCACAGAGCTCTTTAAAGATGCTGGGTTCCCTCAGCAACTTTATTCCTCTCCATGGGAGCTAATAGTATGACCTTTGGATCCTCCCACTGTGGGCACATAGGCCTTGCATGACAGATCTCCAGTGTTCCAGTCCCCCAGCCTTGCTTGCACATCAAGGGCATCACACATTTGAAAGGTGTGGCCACCTTCTGGGTCCACGTCTCAGCCAACTTGCCACCAACCCAACTGTCAGAACCCTTTCTAGGCCCTGAAGCTGCAGCACTGAGCCCAGGCCCTGTCCTCTGTGGGCCCGTTTCAATTACTCACCTGACCCATTTAATACTCCAGCCACACAGACCCTGCCCCCTTTGTTCCTACTCCTGGGAGTGTTCTCTCTAGATCTCAGTGGGTACAAACTGGAGACAATAGGCCCTTTGGTTGTAGCACAGTGTCCTTAGCACAGCAGGCACTCTGTGCCTCTCCCTCTGAGGGGGCCAGGGATGAAGTGGTGTCCTGAGTGTGGTGGTGCCTCCCAGGGCAGCACCTGGGGGAAACCCCAGCTCTTCAGCTAGAAGGGGCCAGACTCCACAGGGGCTGGGCTCTTCTGATATTGAGGACAAAGTGCAGAGGTCTGAGGTCTTTGCTTCTTTGGGATCTGTCTGTAGGCTCCAGCCACACATTCAGAGTCCTGTTCCTTCCTGATCAATGCTAGAGGATCCTCACCGGGCCAGCTGTGTGCAGGGGCAGTGGGGGCTTGTTCCCAGCTTTTATGCTGTCGCTTTGTGCACCCATGAGGCTGAACTTGTGTCTTTGGTTACTGTGAAGGGCTTTGCCTCGGTGTCTCTATGCCTCTGCTAGGGTCACCTGGAGATGGATCTGTCCCTATCATCTAACCCTCTGTGATAGATAACCATGGTGTTGACTTGAATGGACTGAGAAATGCATAGCAGGTAGTGGAGCACAGTTCTGGATGTGTCTGGATGACTGACTGGTAAGCCAAAAGCTGAAGAGGGAAGACCAACCTTGGAGATGGGTGGCACCAACCAATAGGCTTGTAGCTTAGATAGAATAAAAAGGAAAAGAAGCCAGAAGTCTTCCCTTTTGCTTTTTTAGAGGACGTCATCTTTGCTATCACTTCTGGATGTTCATCTCCACTTCCTTCAGGTTTCGAGCACAGACTCCTCAGGCTTCCAGTGCAGACCGTTCAGTTTTCCAATATGCCCTTGCACCGGGGATCGAACTCGGGACCTTTCACTTGCAAGGCAGGTGGCAGAACCATTGAGCTAAATCCCAGGGCCCAGGGCTTTGACTTTTGACTGGATCCTCAGCTCTCCCGAATGCAGATGGCCCTTTTGCATTCTTCCACCCCTGACTCTGTAGGCAGCCATTGTAAGCTTACTTGTAAATTATATATCATATAAATATTTAATATATAAATATATGCTTATATATATAAAACATTTATTATACATAATATTAAGTCTATAATATTAAATCCCTTAGTGAACCCTAATTGATAGATTCTCTCTAGGACTGACACCTCTTCCCCATCCTGTGTCTGGCTTTGTTTTGCACACCACCAGCTCCAGCCCCAACTACCTTGGCCACCCAGCATCCACCCCTTTCCTGCTATACTTTCTTGGAGCTTCAGTCCTGGATGCTTCAGTCCTGGATGTTGGGAGTTCCTGCCCATCTCTGGGTAAGGAGCTATGCAGACATCATCAGAAGGCTATGGTAAGGGTCTGTGGCCTCCAAAGGCCTTGGAATGCACACTCAGGGTCACTCACTCAATAGCAAGGCCCAGCAGGGGGCTTATCCAGGGGGATCTGAGGGCTTTGACTCTTAAGTGGAGGGACCAGTGGAAGAGGTTTGCAACAGAAAATTTATTACACAATATCCTCAAGTTGGCAGCACTGTCAGGCCCAAGCCAGACCTCCCAATAGGCCACAGGTCCCAGGTGTCTGGCTGGTTGCCAGGGTCACTGTCATATGGACGCCCGAGTTCACAAAAGGAATAGTGAGCCTCATGAAAAGTGAGGACTCTATGGTCCTTGGGCCACACCTGCTGGTCCTTAGGGGCCCTTGATGGTCAGTGTCCACTTGACTGGGCCAAGGCTGGAGTAAGATGCCTACTTCTTGTCTTCTGAGTCTCTAGAGAATGGAATGGCTGAGTCACGTGCGTTGATACAGTGACCAGATGCTGATGCGCTGATCCTTGGATCCAGCAGCCAGCAAGCCATTGGTGGCAAAGGCCACACAGTGGACAGAAGCACTGTGAAAAGCCAGCACAGCCAGTGGCTTCATCGTCCGCCAGTGAAACACACGGATGCGATGGTCCCAGCCTGCGGTGGCCAGGATCTTGCGGTCTGGCCGGACTGTGATGTCAGAAATTCCAGGATTGGTGAGTTGGTGAGTGCTGCACACCTGCAAGAGGGAAGATGGCAGGGGGTGGTGTCAGGTGCTCTTGGGTTGAAGCAGTGGTGTTCAGCCATGGGCACCCTGCCCCATCCTGCAGCAGGATCTATGAGAGAGCTCAGGTTCCTTGATGGTCACACCCCCGCCCCCATACAGCTGACCTCCTCTACCTCCTCCCCAGGAGCACTTCTACTCTTGACTGACCACTTGGCCATGACACCAAGGACTCTAGCTCTCCCTCTGCTCCAGGCCTTTGGCTGAGCTGTTCCCCTGTACCTGTTCTGACAAATTCTCACCTTCATTAGGGAGTAGCTCTGAGCTCCCTGCTGTGGGGAATACATTGCATCTTCACATCTACTGAGAGGCAACAATTCCAGCTTGGCAGCAGCATGGAGTTACCATTTCTCCTGGAGGAACCTTGTTAACACCCGCATCTCAGGGAGGATGAGAAATGTAACCCCCCACCTTCAGCAAAGCCTAAGCGGTTAAGGGAATCCTGTGATGGGAAGGGGCTAAAGAGCTGCCAAGAGTGGGAAGCAGCAGGGAGGGGGTGGGCAGGAGCTGTGGTCTGAATGTCTCTCCCAGAAGTTCATGGTTGGGAACTTAATCCCCAACTCCACATGCTGATGGCATTTGGAGGTGGGGCCTTGGGAGATCATTAGGGTCAGACAAGGTCCTGAGAATGGGGCTCTTGTGGTGGCATTAGGGTTTACAAGAAAAGAAAGAGACCTGAGCTAGCACACTTGCTCTTCGACCACAGGATGTCCTCTGCCTCATTATGAGGCAGTGCTAAGGCCCTTACCAGATGCCAGCTCCATGATCTTGTACTTTCTAGCCCCTAGAACTGTGTACCACATAAACTATTCTTCATAATATACTCAGTCTCAGGAACTTTGTTATAGCAATAGAAAATGAACAAAGGCCCAGGACAAGGGCAAGACAACACCACAGGTAGAAGGGCTGCAAAGTAGTGCTCTTCACCAGGCTGTGGGGAAGCCTAGCTCCTGGCCTGGTTCTATGAAGGAGAAGGGTGCTGAACAAGACAAGGAATTATGTAACATTTTCAATCTGCATAGAGCCATCGGGGAGCCAGGCTCTCTCTGGGGTCCAAGCACTCCATGCTCAGTGCTGGTGAACAGGAAGCCTCCTGTCCCAACATGTGCCTCCTGCAGCAAGCAGAGAGCCCCCATGGAATCAGAGCTGTCTTTATGGTCAAACATCTATGGGTGGGTATGATTCAGTGTGTCCCTCTAAAGGTGCATGTTGGGAGCTTGGTCCTGTGTGGCAATGGTGGTATGGAACCTTTAAGAGATGGGCCTAATAGTGGATCCTTGGGTCAGCTGGGCCTGTTCCCTTGAAAAGGACTGTGGGGCCCAAGTCTTTCTGATGTCATGTCTGGAGATGTAATCTATTCCCTTCACACATTCCTGGCATAAGGTGATGCCATCCATTTGGCCTTCACTGGAGTCCAAACCAGTAGGGCTTACTCTCTGGAACTGTGAGCCATCCTGATCTCTCTTCTGCATAAAGTTAACCTGCCTGAAGTGTTTTGTTATAGTAACTAGAAACTGACTAGTATACAACATTCTTGGTTACATAGGGCTGTCCTATGTGCTGTATGGCATTTGGCATCTGTCCCCACACAAAACGACAGAGGTGCTTTGCCAACACTGTGACACCTAATGATGGCCATTTCTTCCACCAGTCAATCTTGTATGTGGCCTGGCCCTCTTGGCCCCGAACACCAAGAGTTCTATCAGCCTCCTTTTTTCTTTTTTTCTTTCTTTCTTTCTTTTTTTTTTTTGGTACCGGGGATCAAACTCGCGTCCTTGCGCTTGCACGGTAGGCAGCGAATCCACTGAGCTAAATCCCCGGCCCCAGCCTCCTTTTTTCTAAATGTCTCCTAATATCACCTTCTGTTAAAAAAGTCACTCATCTCTGCAAATATAACACAAGGACAAAACAGAGAAGAAACAAGAAAAACAAATGCCAACATTCCTCAGATACCAGCAAAATGGTCACTAACTGATTTACTCATAAATTAAAACAAAACTAAATGAACTAAGTTACATCTGTAAATTACCTCTATAAAACAAGAACCCAAAGCAGCAAAACACTGAGAGATTGGATCTGGCAGAGCTCAAGAAAGAAGTGGAAGACAAAAACTTAAAGAAATGAAGTAGCTGGGTATGGTGATACACACCTGTAATCTCAACAGTTGGGAGGCTGAGGCAGGAGGATTGCTGCACGTTTGAGACCAGCCTGGGCTACGTAGTGAGTTCAAAGCCAGCCTGAACTATATAGTTAGACCCTGTTTCAAAAAAAAAAAAATAACAAGGAAGAAAGGGAGGGGAATCAGAAACAGGAGACGACAAAGGCCCTGAATAAAAAGACACAAAGGACCAAGTTTGATCACCTGTACCAAAAAAAAGACAGGAAGGAGCCATACAGTCAGGGTAAGAAGAATGAAAAATGAATGAGAGAGAAAGAGTTAAAATGGATAGCATGGAAAGATAATGAAAGAAGTGGTATGTTGGAGTTCACTGATGTAGAAAAGCAGTTTCAATGTCTTAAAAGAGAAGTCTTATGATCAAAGTCCAAAGAAAAGCTATAGAGTGGTCAATATTGAAATATGCTCTAGTAAAACTCTTAGACCTAATAGCTAATACAGTCCTTTTGGCAGCCAGAGCAGATCACATTGATCAAGAGGGTAAAGCACAGGCTATGCTCAGAACATTCTCGGCTACATCTGTGCCAGCAAACTGGAGTGATGCTCACATAAGGTAAGAAGGGATATGTGGCCCAAGAATTTTATATCTAGCCAAAATGTCACTCAACTGTAAAGACAATACAGAGACATTTTTGAATGTGTAAGAACTCAAAGGATATTGTTCCCATAAGCTCTTCTGGAAGGACAAGAAGATTAATTCCAGTGTTGTAACAGATAACTGGAGAACTACAGCAAATGGCCTGGCAGACAGCATTGAATCTACTTACCAGCAGGATTAGGTCTAAAACACATGGGGATTATGGGTAGGGAACCGGTTATGTAACTAACCAATATAGAAAAGTAATGAGAGAGACTGGTTAAGTTCACTTGGTCCTTATTTGTTACGTGGGGGCCAAAGATATAAGTAGTCAACTTCATACTTGACAGTTTATCTGCCATCCACCTGACTAGCGTCCTAGTATCTGCCCTGTATATCTGCAAAAAATATACAATTATAAACACATTCAACAGTTTTATGACTGGATTCCAATGTTAAATCCAGATCTGTGCTAGTAAGAGACTCCTGGCAGATATACCAAGAGAAACAAGAAAGAGGGGGACCATCTTCACAGGGAAAGTTGAATTCAGAGCCAAAAGTACTAAGGCAGACCATTATGACACTTAACGGTGATAAAGGGTGCAATTCAGAATGAAGAGCCATGACTGTCTATTTGGAAAATAAACAGGTTTATCCTTCATAAAGCAAGAATAAGAGGAAAGTGGCTATGATAGTAGAATAACTGGTACCAGACCAGTCAATGGGCTTTAAACCACCATAAAAGTGAGCAAAATATGCAAGGTAACTTTTACAAGCACTGGACAGCAAGCAGAGGAGGCTTCTGATGATGTGAGCCTCTCAGTGTTCTCTGCCCCAGGGACAACATCCTGGCCAAAAATCCAGGCAGAACATAGTACTCACATTAAGCTGAGAAGGCAAATATCAGAATTTTGGGCAATGCTGAAATCTGTGATAATGTGGAGGAAGGGAGGTAAATAGGGTACATAGTATGTAAAGGACTTTATGTGGGGTTCCTCATGAGTCCTTGAGGGCTAGTTTGCATAAGCCCAGGGCAAACTGCACAGGGCTTAGCAGAGAGTGGTGCCAGAGGGTCAAATGGACAGGTAAGAGAGGTCAACTAAGAGCAACTGAGATGTCACAATGGCCTGGCTTCAGGAGTAAGGATTCCACATGGAGTAAGGTCTGCTATAGACATAATAGAACAAAGCTAGAAACCATGCCTCAGCAAGGTCTGAAAGGAGGCAGAGTGTGGGCTCCTTTATAGAGGAGCCTAGGAGTGGCTTTCTACACACTTGACCTAATGAAGCACAAACCAAGCTTACACAAGTCCAAGGTGACCAGCCAGTAACTGAACTTCCTGCCAGAAAAAAAGCAAGCACTGTTCAGAGCAAGATAACAGACTTCAGAGTCTCAATCATATATTATTTATATTGTCCAGCACACAAACAAAAAATTACTAGATGTGCAAAGAAGCAGGAATATATGATCCACAGGGCAGGGTGGGGGGAACCCGACGGGGATGGGACTGGTTAATAGAAGCTGATGGCATAGATGTTGAATATATTAGATAAAAACTTGAAAGAAGCTATTTAGATGTGTTTTTTAAAATTAAAGGAAAATGCATTCAAATAATTATAAAATAATTTATCTGGATGAGTGTACAGAGAAATAGAAAAATAATTTCAGGACTGGGGATTGAACCCAGATCATCTGCAGCGCTATATCCATATCCATCTTTGTTTTCTTTCTTCCTTTTTTTTGGTACTGGGGATCGAACTCAGGTCCTTGTGCTTGTGCAGCAGGCGGCAAAACCACTGAGCTAAATCCCGGCTGGCTGGCTGGCTGGCTTGCTTCCTTCCTTCCTTCCTTCCTTCCTTCCTTCCTTCCTTCCTTTCTTTCTTAAGACACTGTCTCATTAAGTTACTCTCATTATGTTATTAAACTGCCCAGGCTGGACTCTTAACTTGTGATCCTCCTGCCTCAGCCTGTCACATTAGGATTACAAGTATGTGCTACCATGCCAAGAAAGAAGTGCAAATTATAGAAAATGTAGAACTGAAAATCTCAATAACTGAAATAAAAAATTTATAGGATAGGGTTAATAGCAGATTGGAAATTATTTTTTTTAAAAGTTGGTGAGCTAGAAGACAGATCAATAGAGATTATTCAAACTGAAGAAGAGAGAAAAAAAAAGACTAAAGGAAAATCAGTAAACAGAGC